ATGGTTTCCCTTGTACTGATTGGGAAATCTCTCTCTTCATGAATTGGTCCATTCCCTCAAGGATTGACTTGATGCTCACGATGCTATGCTTTGGAGGTCCCAAAAGAAATAGGAGAAGCTCAAGCAAGAGAATGAGGCATTGAGAGAGGCTCTGAGGAAATCAAGGGATCGAGAGATCCATAACAAACTCGACCACAAACAACCAATGCTAAAGGCGAGCCTTCCCGAGCTGAGCCTAGTCCTAGCCCTAACAAGCACAGGGGGGAGACGGAGAAAGGATGCTCATGACAAGAATGAAAGAAGAAAATTTGCTTAGGTATAGAACCAAGAGGATAACTAAAGGCACTTTATAACCAAAGATCTTGATAGCTGGGTAAAGCACCCTAAACAGAAATCTCCTAAGGAATTAGCCATGAGAGCCACCAGAGAGTACTTTGGGTGGGGGGGGGTGCTCCTCTCACAAGATGGATAAATAAGGAGGGAATCCTCCATTAAGTTTAGGTGATGAGCTTCAAAATCTACGATGAATCTACGAGGGAAAGACCGATCGGATCGCCACATCAACTATTACAAATAGTTGATGACAATCCATAAATAGAATGAGGCATTAATGTGCACAATGTTCCCTAGCAGTTTAAGGGAATTGGTCATGAAATGGTACAACAACCTTCCAAGGAACTCTATCGACAATTGGATGCATTTGGCCAAACTATTTATGGCCCAATCAATAGCAGACACCTAACGGATATTGAGGCACTGTTTTCCTTAAAAAAGAAACATGACGAGAAAATTCATGAGTGTGCTCATAATTATTGGAAAATGATGAATGAGATTGAGAGGTGTAGTCCAGAGATTGTGGTAGCATCATTCAAGAATTGGATTACCAAAGGACAACCAATTATACCCGTCCTTAACTAGGCAACCAACCGTCAAAATAGAGGAGTTAATGGCTAGAGTTAAGAAGTATGCAAAGTTCGATGATGAGCTTGGTAGGGAGATCAACCGGGATCAGCTGAGAAAAAAAATGGGAGAGATAGGCAAAACTAGGAGTGCTCAGCAACAATGGGAAAGGAGAAGGAAGGCTTCTCATCCTGATTATTTTTCTCCAAAGGCAAAACCATATTCAAAGAAACAATCTACATAATTTTGTCTAAAATCAAGCAGACACCTTACTTCAAGTAGCCTAACAAGTTAGACAAGGATCCTAAGAAAAAGAATCCTAATATTAGGTGTCCTAACATCGGACACATGACAAAAAATTGTAGATCCCTGAAGCAACATCTAGATGAGCTGGTTTGAGCTAGCCATCTTTCTCAATTCATTGATGAAGAAACTACCATGAATAAGGCTACCAAAAAGGAGGCAATGCGGGGTCATAGCAAACTTTGACATGAAAAGGATCCTGATTGACTAAGGAAACTCTTCTGAAGTTATGTGCATGGGGTTGTTTCGAAAGCTTGGCTTGAAGGAGGAAGACCTTAAGCCTATTTATCACCACTGGTGGGGTTCAACAACAAAATTATGTTACCAAAAGGAAATAGCTCCCTACCAGTCTAGGATTGTACCATAACTGAGTTCATGGTCATTGAAGCAGATTCATCCTACAACGCTATCATGAGGCGTAGTTGGTTGCATGAGATGAAGGCAATCCTTTCAACTTACCACTAGCTCTCAGGGTTTCCATTTGAAGAAGGAATCGTTGATATTCAAGGAGACCAAGTAAGTACACAGAGCTATCTATTTGCTTCTATGAGAGGAAAATTACTTTGTGGGGAGGGGGGTAGAATTTTGGCTAGCATTTGAACTGACCCCCAAATGGCAACCAAAGTTTGAATGGTCGTGCCTAGAGGAACCTTTAATAGGCTTGACCGAGTGTACAGTGGAGGATCTCTAGAATATATATGTGGATGAAGGAAACATTGAGAGATTCTTTTTGATGGGATCCTTTCTAGTGCAATAAGAAAAAGAGGCTTTGTAGGGACTCCTAAGAAAGAACATTGACGTATTTACCTGGACCCCTATTAGATTCCATGTATCAATCTCAAGATCATCTCTCATCATCTAAATGTTGACCCAAGCTTCCAACCAATCAAGAAAAAGTAAAAAAGATTGACACCTTAACACATGGAGGCTGTCAATGAAGAGGTCAACAAATCATTGGAAGCTCGTTCAATCAAAGAGGTATTGTATATAACTTGGTTGTCCAACATAATGATGGTGAAAAAAAAAGAAGGGAAAGTGGAGAGTCTATGTGGACTTTACCAACCTGAACAAAGCTTGCTCCAATGACAGCTTCCCTCTGCCAAAAATTGAAAAGATGGTTGATGCTATGTCTAGGCATGAAACGATGAGTTTCCTTAATGCTTATAGGGGATATCATTAGATCCCCCTCTTCGAGCCCGACCAGGAGAAGACTTCTTTCATAACACCACGTGGTGTATACTACTATAAGGTAATGCCCTTCGAGCTTAAAAATGCTAGGGCAACCTACCAGAGGTTAGTTACACAAATGTTCAAGGAAATGCTTGAGAGCACAATAGAAGTCTACATAGACGACATGTTGGTCAAAATTTGAAAGGAATTTGACCACCTTGCGGATTTGCCGAAAACTTTTAATGTGCTACAAGAATATAGGGTGAGGCTAAATGCCTTGAAGTGCGCTTTAGGGGCCATCTTAGACAAATTCCTAGGTTTCCACGTGAAAAAAAAGAGGAATCAAGGCTAACCCCAATCAGGTCAAAGTCTTAGTTGAACTTCAATCTTTGAGGATTGTAAAGTAGATGTAGAGGTTAATCGGAATGGTTGTTGTGTTTAACAGGTCATAGCCAGACCATCTGACATGTGTAGACCATTCTTCCAAGCATTGAAACAAAACTGAGGCGGCGTCTGGATGAAGGAATGAGAGAAAGTATTCAAAGACTTGAAGTCTTACCTATTCGAACCACCACTACTGACAATGCCTGAGCAGGGAGAGTTGTTATACATGTACCTAGCTGTCTCTAAACATGGAGTGTACGGGGCACTGATGAAGAAATCTGAGAGAGAGATAAAGCCAGTCTACTATGTCAGTAAAACTCTCCTTGATGCAAAAAACAAGTACTTACCCTTGGAAAAACTAGCCTGACATTGGTTAGTTTGACAAGGAAATTAAGGTATTATTTCCAATCTCACACGATGAAAGTCCAAATTAATCAGTCCCTAAAGGCCATATTTAGAAAAACTGACTTGTCTAGAAGAATATCAAAATGGGCAATGGAACTTGGGTAGTATGATATCATCTTCAAACATAGAACTACAATTAAGGTAAAAACAATTGTAGACTTTTTAATCTAGCTAATGCATGGGATTGATGAGACCCATGTCAAAATTCAAAAGGTTCCGAGTACCTTGGAATTTGAAGTTGGGGGGGGGATAGTTGAGCAAAAAGAGGCCCCAAGTACCTTAGGACCCAAAGACAATGTAGGCTCCCTAGAAATTATACATGGATGGTTCTTCTAATCAGAAATGAGCTGGAATGGGGGTGATTCTAGAATTCCCAAAAGGCAATACGCTGGAAAAAGCAGTAAGGCTAAAGTTGGAACATCAAATAATAAAGCGACATGTGAGGAACTTCTGGTAGGAGTAAGGCTCGCATATGATATGGGTGTCTAGCAGTTGAACAGCTATTTTCATTCTTAACTAGTGGTGAATTAGCTTTCAGGAGAATACCTAACAAAGGATGGTGGCATACCACCAGTTGGAGATTGCCGAGCTATGCAAGATCTCGAAGGTGTCAATTCAGCAGGTTGCTAGGGACAAGAATGTGCATGTTGATGCCTTGGCTACACTAACATCTGCCCCCAAGCCGGAGTAAAAGGCTAAACAACCCAAAGAAGAACCATATAGAAAGAACTTATCGGTTGAGTGCAGGTGGCCAGGATAAGAGGGTCCTAAAATGGCCAAGAAATATGTGTACTCACCCAAGCAAGAGATCAAGAGACAAATACTGTAGTTACCACAGGGACAATTGACACAACACTGAGGATTGCCAGGTCCTCAAGGATCAAATAGAAGACTCATCCAGAGAGGGCATTTAGGGAGGTACATTGAATGTAGACGCCAAGAAAAGGCAGAAACAAAGCCAAACCATGAGGAAGCAACACCCAGCAGCCTATCAAAGAAATTTGTGTAATCTATGGAAGGTACACCAGTGGTGGAGAAAGTAGCTCTTCAGGACAGATCCATGCTAAGAAAGCAAAATTAAAGTAGGAGATCTCCTTGGTGAACCTAGGGAAGAAGCCTCATATAAACCCACTAATTGTCTTTTCTGACTAGGACTTGAATGGGATTCAGCATCCTCATACTGACTCGTTGGTTGTAACCTTGACTATTTCCAGTTGCTCAATAGGAAGGGTTTTGATAGAAAATTGGAGCTTGGTCAACGTTATCCTCACCCATGTCTTCAATAAGTTGAGCTCGGTCTTTTTCTTGTTCAGAGCGACAAACAATTCAAAAACCCTAAGAGAGGGGGACTTGTTCTACTCAATCATCTTCTCCACCAAAGAGGAAAGATAAAAAACATAACCCCTAGAGGCGGGGAAAAGATTTAATTTTGGCTCTTTTTTGCAGTCTAAAAACCTATTCCTCTCCTTTGTAATCTCATTCAAGCTCTGCTAAAGATTCCTTTTCTCCTTCAATTCCTGAAGGACCATCTCTTATGAAGCCAACAGAATATTCTGCATCTTCTCCATCTTCGACACTAGACTAAGGAACTCTTTCTCATAGGTTTTCCTCTCGTGTAATTTCGTGTAGCAAACACTTAAGGCAAGGATAACCAGCTGCATAAAGAAAAACAAATAATTTGCAAATGGAAAATAGTGAACAATAGAAAACAACAAGCAAGAAGCCAAAAGATGCCTTACCTTCCCAATGGTCTCTTGGAGAGCAACAACAACCTATTCAAGTCTCATTCAGAAGGTGGCATGGACCTCGCTATCATCAACAAACTTGAGAAGGTGAACTCATTCCTCCTCTCCATTGTCCCACATTGAAGGCCTAGACCCCTCAAGGGCCTGTGACTCCCCTATATACTTTCCCTCAAGAAGCGTATCTTTCCCTTTGACCTTTGATGGAACAAGAGAAGAACTACTAGTAAGAAGAGAAACTTCAAGAATATGAGGGCCCAATTTATATGAGCTTTCAAGGTCCAAAGCAAACTCCCCAATAATCTTAGCGCTCAGGGGATGGACTAAAAGTAGGGTAGGTGTACCAAATGGAATCTTAGAGCTTGATAGGATTACAAAGGGTGTAGGGGAACTAGAAACAGCTATATTTGGCTTCAGAAAGGACAACTTGGTCCTCTTAAGACATAGGGTCCCACTTGTCAGATCTTTAGATGCCCTAACCTTTTTCAGAAGCTTCTTATTAAAAACCTTGGGAGCCATTTTTGCAAGTAACAACAAGAACCCGGTATTTAAAGAAGAAAGGAAGAGAGCGGGGATGTCAAAATGCTACTCACCATTCAGTGGGGAAGGGCTTGATGTAAAGCGCACCATGACAACTCTAGGGATAGAACCCAACTAGCACTCGAATAGTGCTTTATTAGGAACTAAGTCATGCAAGCTTTTAGTATGATGAGCCAAAGCTCTCTCAATCTAAGCCTGGAGTTTGGTAGGAAGAGGACTAGTCTTGCCTGCACCAGGGAAACACATTGGTATGAATCTAAAAAGGAAAGGCCAAAATAAAGAACTAGACAATTCATAGAAAGAATGAGGGTGTGATCCCCAGAGTAGAGGGACCAATAATGGTCTTTCAGTAAGGGGATTAGAAGGACCAAACTCCCAACTAGGCTTAGACACGAAGAAAAAATTATCCTTCCATTCCTTCATGCTAGAGAAATAACTTTTGAAAAGCTCAATTTTCTCCTTTTTTGAAATATAGAACCACCCTTTGTTCTACCTAGAGTAGAGTGTGAGTTTATAGCAGTGTAGAAGCTCCGCTATGGTTGGACAAGCACCCACACCATTGGTTCTTGCCCAAAGAACACTGATGCCAACTATAAACACCTAACTATTTGGATTTAGCTGAGAAAGGGCAAGGTTTAAGTAGTGAACGACTTCTATAATGTATTGTGGCATGGGGAATCAAAGGCCACACTTGAGAATCAATTCATAAAAGCACACTTCATTGCTAGGAAAAGAGTCGGTGGTTCCTTATAATGAAGGGATTGGGAAGCAAACAGAATGTGGGATTTGATAGAGTTTCCTAATGTCATCTAGGGATTTTTCATCAAGAGATCTTTGGAATTGCTTCGCACCCACCACTACAATGGAAGAGGGAGTAAACTCTAAGATGGAATCTAGTTCTTCATTGGCCCTATTGGCCTTGGCAATGAGAGATGTGGTGATCCCTAAGAGAGTTCGCTCTGAGTCACTCATTGCTAGGAAACAGTGGTGGTGAATGGACAAATTAGGTGGCAGAAAGCTAGAAGAACTATGGGAAAGAAGAGTTCAAGAATCGAAGTTAGATTCGAGCTGAAGTAGAGAGAATTGATCAACAAAGAGGTCAAGGCAATCAAGATTGAAACCCTTCCACTTGAGAAAATGGAAATGGTAGAAATAAAATTGAACGGTGTGACTCCAACCTAAATACTCTAGTTTGAAGAGTCCAAGAAAATCAAGAAAAAATCAAGAAGATCAAGATCAAGAAAGAGAGGCATGCCTGGGCTCTTGGAAGAGTTCTTGAGACGTGCTGGACTTTGACATCGAAGCATGTTTAAATCCCAGCCACATAACAACTCTTTAGCGATTACATCCAAATGAACCACAACGTTATTTCCTGAGGCACTAATGGACAAAAACATTAAATGCAAACCAAGAATAAGTCACATCGAGTTAAACTAGGGACAACTGATAAATAGAAAAATAGCACGTGCTTGAAATACCAAGCTGAGAAGGTTGGCATAGTTCTAGCTCGGTATCTAACCACTCCCTAATGTCGTTGAGCTCGCCAAAATTCTACTCTAAAAGGACTCATACTAGTTCAACTCAACTATCACTTCAACTTGGCCAACAAAGAGTAGGTCAAGCAAGCAAAGTAACTAATTTATCTAAAGTAAGCGGAGTAGGATCTGCTAACAACCTAACCAAATGGCCTATAAGAGGGGAGCCATGAAGGAGATTGAGGTAAGTGAATCAAGCTCAAACTACAGCTTCCTCTAATCCGTAAAATATCTTCGACTGACTTCATCATTGGAGCATCGATCCTTGGAGCTTCTCCAGTCTCTAACTTGTCTTTGTAAGATAACAGAGGATTGTTCTAGCTCACTATTGGCTTTGAAGCTCGGTGAAAATTCTAAACTATCATCAAGTTGCATGGGGAACAAAGTAAAGAGAGTTGTTGATATACTCTAGGGGAGTACATTTACAAGCCTAACATGAAGTCACATCTAAATTTTTGTTTGCTTGTTATTTGCTTTTGTGAACAATAACTAAGGAGAAGAACTTTTTGTGTATTGCTAAATCTAAGTATAATTGGCTAGCATTGCTTATATATGTTACATATTGCATGATGTTGAGATTATTTTACAATTTGTTTTGTTCTCAGTAGTTTTTGAGTTATAATTTTAAATTTCTTAATCTTGTATTTTTATCATGAAATTGCCAAAGGGGGAGACTATTAGGAATATGTTTGTAATTGCCTGATTTCATGAAGAATTACATGGTCATGGTGCTTCAAAGATCAAGATTCGTAAGCGACAAGGAAGGAAGGAATTCAAGCTACAAAACCTTATCAAGTGTCCTCCGATGCACCTTCAAGCTTAAGACAAAGGTAAGACCAAGAGACCTAAGAACCCTAGGTTTAATTTTAGACTTTGGATGATTAGGTTTATAAAAATGGAATCGGGAAACATCGTAAATGAATATAAGGGTTTTTCAGTGGAAACATTTTTCTAAACCTTAAATGTGTTTTTGAAAATATAAATTGAGTCATTTTTCTATTCCTATTTGAGCAAAACTCTTTATTGCTCAATAGGATGAGTTTTTTTTTTGTTGGTTTCTAGCTTAAAAACCAGTGGGGACCACCCTCGACTCGCTCACATTCGAATAGAGTGGTCTTTGAACACTTAGAGAGACTAAACTAGAGAACTAGTAGACACTGCTCGAGCCGTCTACCACATAAAGGTCTAGATTGGATTGTTTTTCACTCCAGAAACCACCGCCCTCTTACAGCTTGAGTAGTCGGCCGTGAATTTGAGTTTTCTTGGGCTCCAATCGAACTTTATTTTCGAGGCATATATATATGAGCTATAAAAAACCTAATACTTTCTAGGGACCTTCAAGAAAAACTCTAGATCCCTAAAATCCAAAGGTCAAACTATCTTGATCATTCCTATTCAACTTCATACATTGGAGAAGAGGATCTCACTTGGTGATTAAAAAAACCCACTTTGGTGTGTGTATTCCTAAAGTCTTGGGTATGAACCCTTGAAGATTACTCGAGGGGCCTAGACGGTTCATTGTGGTGAGTGTGTCCAAGTGAAGCAATCAAGACATCAATGGGTGATATCCGGAGAAGAGATTTACAACGGAAATGAGCATCTAGCCATGTGAAGTGGTTGAGGTATAAGACTCAAGTACGTGTAAATTGATTTAAGTATAGTGGATTACGTTCTAGGTTAACCGAGATCTATTCCGCAATAAACCTATTCACCCCCTCTACGTTGTGTCTAGCAAATCCATGTGTATAATTGTGAGAGAAGATTCACTATGCATCTCTCCACATTTTATACTTTATAAAATTATTTAATTGTTTATCACCAAGATTGAGTTCTTGGTATAATCTGTTAGGATCATGTTTGTAATTGATTAACCCTAATTAAAGCATAATCTAATTTAGTTAATAGGTCAATTGTGTTAGTTAAATGAAGTTAAATTAGTCAAAATAAGCCAAATTAGGGTTAGTGCGTGAATTAAGGATAATGCATTAATTGTTATTTTTTTCAGAGATTTGTGTGTCAAAACTGCAAACTACTGGGAAACCAATTGTGTAAAAGTTACAAACTACTCGGGAGCCAATTATCAAAGTTGTAAACTATAGGGTGCCAATTATTAAAGCACAAAATAAAGTGGGATCAAAGTGTAATTCAAAGCCACCAAACAAGACTTTCACACTCCCTTGGCCTATAAATACCACCCTTAAGACTTGTAAAACATTATCTTTTGGTAGTGAAAAACCCTCTAAAAGTATTATTGCTTTCTTGCTCATTGCTTTCTTTTATTGTATTATTGCTTTCTTTTAATTCATTGCTTTATTTAAGTATTGCTTTCTTTTATTGTATTATTACTTTCTTTTAATTCATTGCTTTCTTTTATTGTATTATGACTTTCTTTAATTTATTGTTTTTTTTTACTTTAATTGTTTGAGCTTCATTCTTCCTTTAGAGGAGTGAAACTCTTCTACATTTCTAAAGTTTTACCAAAGCCATGAAGGATGGAACGTCATTCACTCATTCTTTGTCAAAGATCGGCTCCTTGTGTAAAGCGTTTTACCTTGTAACTCCTCTACTTTGAGGGATGAGCATCACTCACTTTTTTACCTTTACCAAAGCCATGAAAAGTGAGTAGTTTCTCATCCAATCTTTAGTAAGAGATGATAGACATGTATAATTATTGCTTGACAAATTTTCTTGTTGTTTCCTAACCTATAAACATCACCTTTTAGCATGTATAGTATATGAATAAAGGGGAGTGTCACTCTCCTAGGGATGATGTCAAAAGAAAGGGCAACGGAATGGTGGATGAATGAAATTTCAAATGTGAGTATGTGTGAACAAAAGTGCTCCCCAAGCGCAAGAAGACTTTCACGGATCGTGTTTTACTGGGTGGTATTCCAAGGTCGTTTCCACGGGGAAGGAAGTAAACCGAGGGGAGGTGATTTTGGGAGAAAGAAAGTGTAAAATCTTTGATTGTTGGAAGTTGTTTTGATGCTAGTAAAATAAGAAACAAATGTTGGCAAATCCAAGAGGTCACTCCAATAGGAATACCGTCTCAACTCGAAACCCTCCTCCAATAGAGCATGAATGAACGATTGATTCGTGGGAAGCTAGGGGTAAGATTGGTGAGTATCTAAGCATAAACCGTGACTAGGCCTACGGAATATCAAAGACTCACCAAGTTATCCACCCTCAACCCAGTCAAACCGAACTATTGAACTCTGAAAGAGGGGAGGAGAATGAGTTGAAATGGTATACCCAAGTGGAGGTTCCTCTTGGTTTTGCCAACTAAGAGATTTAGCTATTCATGCTTAAAATAAAGACAACAATATGATGAGAAGACATTATGAAAAAATAAAGACTAAAGCTAAGCATAAATGAATTGCATAAATTTAACTTCCGGATAACCACCTCTTACTAAAAATTGGATGAGAAACT